GAGTTTGATCCGACGGGCTCAAGGTTGACTCAACCTTCCATCCTTTTGAGATCGACAAAATGAGGAGCCAGATTATTGGTGGGCAATATATGCTCACTGTATAAACTCCTTAAGAGAGTGCTGTGATGCACCATGGTGCAGTATACAAGTCTACATGCTGTTACTATTGCTATGGAAGTAAGTTAAACTTACTGTAAAAATAAAGCATTCTCCTGTGCCAAAGAAGCTTGCTGTTCCTCCCCGTTTTTTCCTTTCATTCCAGTCAGAGGAAAGAAATGCTCCACATACCTGAGTGGGAGTAAGATGTGAGCAACTGCGTAAGGTTTCCTGATAACCAAAAAGTCTCAAGAAAATGTATGATCACAGAAGACCACTTAAACTCTTACTGTATTCAAACCATCTAGTGAAGAAAAAATGGGGTTACCAAGTAATGTGGAGATGTAGTTTAAAAACACGTTATTATCATCTTCCACTTACTTTATGAGGGCACCCTGGAGCAGAACAATAGGGACGAGGCTCTAGTATCCCCTTTTGATGTGTATACAGGTTTAGGGGAGCAGTTTTGAATAAATTAATTCACTGACGTTTTGCTTCATAAATACCCTGCGCTTCCAGGGTATTTATGTAGTAACGGAATACATACAATTCCAGGCAGCAAAGGCTAAAAAACAATCAGTAAAATGCATAACCAAAGATTAGAAATAGCCAAGTAGTTAAAGACAGAAGCATGAAATAACGCTGGAGTCTTGGGAACCAAAATCAGATCTTTCTCTGGCATCTAAAAAGATGAGGGGGAGATTCATTCTCTGAGTTTGTGGATTGGTTTCCAAACATTTCAATACCAGGCTAGGTAACATCTTCAGTGGAGATGAAGACCCTCACTTGATGTGACCCCTCACAAGACCCATCACAAGACCCTCACCTGATGTAACCTTCCCATCACAAGACCGACTGACCACACAAAGCCTTTAAAAGCAGAAAAACACTGACACTGACATCCTCTAAACTTCACTGAAGATGTTACCTAGCCTGGTAACACAACATTTGGAAGCCAACCCATAAGCTTGGAGAACAAACCACTACCCTCATCCTACATCCAAGCTAGAGATATTCACCACCATTGCAATCCAAGAGGATGTCAGGCAATGCTCACTGGAGAGAACGTTCAGAGATGAGGCTCTTATCTGAAATACGCTATTCTTAGTAACCCAGCATGATGTTCATCCTGTAAATTTAGGACCTGGAAGCAACTTAAAACTTGTCCAGGTGTTAACGCTTCTAAGTGTGTATTTGAGGCTGAGATGTACACCTCTCCATATAAAGCTGTGAGCAAAAAGAAATGTGTGTCATATAAGAATTGCCTGCAATTTCCTTTTGAGTAGTTGGCGTTCACAGTTGGTGGCAAACTTGGTGAAACAGTCCTCGGAATGCTTCCCCTTCCTCCTTATCAGGCAGGAAATAGATACTCAATATACAAATTATTACCTTTGAAAGCGTCTCTGACAGGAACACATTCGTTCATTCGTTTGTATTGATTAAATGGTTCCACCCCATTCTTTTTTTTGGCAATTAATGTGATTTATTTTTGAAACAAACCTCAACAGACAGTCATATGTGAAAACTTCCTGATTGTTTTATAAAGCCCCCTATCTTTTCTTCAATCCTTGTCTTTCCTCCATCCTCCATTAGGCTCTCAGACATCTACTTACCTCCATCATCAGCATTCTTTAAAAAAAATACTCCTGATTTAATAAGACTGAGCATGTAGACATTTGAGAGAGTTGTGCATCCTTTTTACATAGAAGTAAAGGAATGCATGTTTGTGGTTTAAGCACAGAATTTTGTTTTTAGCCTAGAATACACATGTTGCATATGACTTTGGATAGTTCCTGTTTTATTATAGCCCCATAGATGGAAGATCCCACTAACCCAGATTTTTTGAGACACTGTATACAGAACTAAATAACTTACTTCTCCCAGTGTGTTTTTTAACAACAGTAAAGTTGGCTCATAGCCTTCACAGCAGGAATAAAACCTGTAGGAAGCAAAAAAAAATGGGATGAAATGAGTCCCCTGCTAATGGCTGGGAAAGCAATTCCTTGATGGCATTGAGATGGAGATGGCTTGAACAGTGGAGCATGTTATTCTTGGTGCTTTATTAAGAAGCCTAGAGCAAGAAAAACAACAAGATGGAAACCAGACAGACTCTGAAATAGAAGTGATCTAGTTAACCTTGCATGTTTTACATTGTCTCAGATCCATGTACTTATGGAATATGTACTCAGTAGAACAAATTCCATTTTTCATGCAGAGGATTTTCTGCTATAAATCTTCTAAATCTTCTAACCATTAGAATGGGTGATGAAGATGATGAAACTTGCAGAGATGGCTAAATTAACTTCTTTGATCAGAGAAAAAATAATACCTTTATGGCTGATTGGAAACTCTTTAAAGACTTTTTGCATGAACAGGGAAAAAAAATGCACTTATGACCTGTGGTTTTGATGATTAGAAAAAAAAACTGGATAATAGAAAAAAGTGAGCTTTTTATAATCATCAAATAAGAGATAATTTTGTAATTGTACTTATATTTGCTGCAAAGGATATCAGACGTATCTTCCTATTTCTTTTTAACTTTTGTTTCTGCACGTTCCTTCCTTCCTTCCTTCCTTCCTTTTTTCTTTCCTTCCTTCCCTCCCTCCCTCTTTATTTGTGTTAGTTTTTAATGCTTTTTTAAAAATTTGTAATAACAATGTATAATTTTTTTCTATATTCTTTTTAAATATGCCATTTTTAAACTCCTTGTAGAGTCCTCAGAACAATGATTTAAAGGATCAGGACAAAGGGACATCTCTGCCAGGAGTGATGGAACAAAATGTAGAGAGTAAAAGAGGTGATCTTGAGGAAAATATGCAAGAAGCTTAGACAAAGGAGCTGAGACATTATTTAGGTCCTGGGAAACAAGATAATATTTGGAAGTGGCTCAGGCAGATATCTCCCTAATTCACTGGAGTATAAGAAGGGGAAGGGGGGTAGGTGCAGAACATTCAGGTTTACACGATTCTGCTATTATAGCCAATCTCAACAAAGTATAGTTCTGGTCTTCCTACGGAGCTGATTTTCTAGTCTTGTCTACCTAGTAGGCTGACCCTGAAAGACACTAAATTGAATGTGAAGGTGCTGAGATGTTGGAAAGCACTGTTGATCCTTTCATTTATCTACTGTAAAAGTCTTATTACTGCTAGAGCTAAGTACTCCTTGTCTTCATTTCTGTCTCTCTTTTAGGATAACAGGAGAGTTCCTCTTGCCCTGCACACCTCTTATCTTCTGCCCTTGAACTAAGCCTCATGATGCTTTATATGCAGTTTAGTGATCACAGCGGGGACTAGCAAGTCGGTTGTTAAACGAAGCTGTCACTTAAATGATACTGCGACTGTTCCCTTTGAGGTTACTTAAGCTTTCTTTGACTTACAGATGTGCATGGTCATACATGTGAGGACTGGTCACAAAGTTACTTTTTCATCACCATCATAAATGGTCACTAAATGAGAATCACCTGTATAAAACCTTTTCCTCTTTGGATTTCCAGAGCAATTTGTTCGAGCACCCGGAGGAGTAGCAGCTGGTATTGACTGCCAACAAGTCATTGTTATGTTAAATCCATAAAGGAAAAGCCAAACCATTCCTTCAGTCCCACCAGTATTCCTTTCTTTATTTTAAACTTGTATGTGGCCACCCAATTCAACCAAGCTAATTTCCCAACCTCCCCCCCCAAAAAAAAAGAAAGAAAGAAAAAGAAAAAATGTACCAATTTTTTTTCCAAAACCGTAACACATACATCTACAGTATAAACAATAATGAGATAATGTTGTTCCATGTTGTATAATAACTGCAAAGTGGACATTTGGAAGCCATAATTTCTGCTCAGTGAAGCAGGTAATTGCTCACATAAAACCTGAATGCATCATAATCTCCATGGCACATGCAGGATCCTGACACAGATTCCTGGGTTTGGAATCAGACAGCTTAACTGTGGTTGTAAAACGAGTGATAATTTTAATATAGGTGCACCTTGACTATCAGACGCTCCAAGCTGTAATATTCACACCATTAAGGATGTCTAGTCAGATTCGTCCTTTGAGAGGGCGTGAGGTTTTCACACCCCTCCCAACATATCCTTAAGCTATTCTTATTCTATTGTTGCTAAAGTACGTCCCCAAAGTACATGGATTTCTAAATATTTCCCTTCTGTTTTGAAAATATGTATAAGGAAAATGGCTAGAACACAGTTGAAGGTACCTTTTTCCCCCCAATGACTAAAAGGCCAGTTGGTTATATGAACTGTGTGAACTGCAGAGAAGATCCTAGGGGCAGGCATGGGGGCAGTCCAAAATATTAATATAAATGGGTTTTCTATCATTACCAGGACTTCAGCCACTCCCACATGTGTCTTTTATGGCGTGGCTAAGAAATTACAACTTTGGTGGCCACACCCCAAAGCACTGCTAATGTTGATTCATTCAGTGGCTTCTGCCCTCTTCCCTGCAGGCTCCTTTCTGAATGGCAGAATAAGAGGTAGGCCAGTGCAAAGCAGTACCATCTCACATAATAGAGCCATCTCTATTATGATCTCTGGAATGATTTGTTTCAAGTTAGTGGTTTCTTGTGAAGAAGCAAGAGTTTTTGCTGCGATATCAGCAATCAAGAGCAGCAAGGGTGAACTATTTCACTCTGGTGGAGATTCACTTTTGCAGAAGATTGCTGAACATCAGGAAAGAGGCTATTTCCTCATGGTTTGTTAGGTGTGCCTAAAAGTGAGGGGCTGCTTTGTGAAGTTCCCTCAAAGAGGTTCTTCAATTAAATTACTTCGTAATAATCTAAGCATAGGAAAGGACCCTCCCATCAGGCTAAAGAGAGAAATTTATTCTACAAGCTCTGAGGAAAGATCCGTTCCATCAGCTCCTTCCTTCCATCATCTGACAGTTGCTATTTCCTGAATATTTCAGTTTGAAACTAATCATAGCAAGAATATGCTGGTTTAAGAAGGGTAGCCTTGATCTGCTTCTTTCTTCCTCTTTTCTTTCTCCTTAGACAGATCTGTTCTAGATCTGAAAGTTGAAATTAGAGACTATTTTAATTTTACTAATCTTATGGTAGCCATTCTGGAAGACTATAGTTGGAGAAGAATAAAACTGTTATAACAAATAAATAGTACATGCTGCAAGGTAATCAACTTCTTGAGATTTTCTCTCTTTTTTGGCATCTTAGATTATTTTTCTCTAATCTGATGCTTTTCAGAAATTTTGGGAGCTATAGTATTCACATCTAGGAAGACTGCCTAGTTAAGGTCTTGAAGAATACTTAATACCTGAAGGTCCAGTTGTGATCAATCTCAGTATTACTTGTTTTCAAAAATACCTCACAACCCATCCACCCCATCTCTCTCTGTATGTTTGTTTGTTTGTGTGTGTGTGTGTGTGTATGTGTCTTCTCATGTTACATTTTTCAAACTTAAAAGTTCCAAAGCGCTGGAAATTTTAAAGATCCTACCCCCTGCATTTTCTCTGGTGTTCTCCCCATTTGTCCTGAATATGTGCTGATTAGGATCATTCAAAAGAAAGCAATGAGACACTGATTTCAGTGGCAGCTTTCTAATTGCATCTTCTGCCAAAGGGTACATTTCCAGAGAAATTTACCTATGCTACTGTCTGAGCACTCTATGTGGAAATTGCTTCTGATGAGCAAATATCCAAATTGGGAAGCATATTGCTTGGAGGTTTCGTAGCCCACGCTGAGCCCACAAGAGTCTATTATTTGTTTAGTGAACAGAGATGGGATAGGCACTAAGGCTGTGTGGCACTTTGGATATTATCTTTGTAAAATGATTTGGAACTCAAGGGAGCATGAACATAGTACCTTTAAATTATCACAAGATTGTTGGGGGTGGGTAGACAACATTTGAAAATGCTGCAGACTAATATTGTATTTGTGCATCTGCTCTTTCTGAAGGTTGATCCTGAAGCACTAAGCAGCCTTAATAAGCATACACTCAGGCTTAGGGATCCAACAACAGTACACTAAGAATTCCCAAAGTATAAGGAATTGGTCACCTTGGCATCCTTTTCTGTGCTTTTGTACCATTTTGAGCCGTTTCCCAGTTTTTTTAGCTATGCCATAATCCAAGATCACTCCAAGAAAAGATCAAGAACTCCCAAACATTGGAGTCAGCAGCAAAAGAGGGTGACATTTAAGAATCACAGGATACTTGGCCCTCATTTGAGTTTAAGGAAGGTGCATAAACCATAGTTCTTATTCTGAATGTTTGGTCAGTCTTTAATTTTATTTTTGTAAGCTTCCCAAGTGCTTTGTGAACTTGTCCTTAGTTAATTATGTGGAGTTCTCAGCTATGCCAAGACCAATTGTAATGTCAGTATCATAAGCACTTAAATGGACTGTATGAATAAATAGTAAATCCTCCACAATTGTTTAAGGTGACATTTTTTTAAAGCACATCGGTATACTGACCGCATTAGAATTTTAGATTAAGCTTTAATATGGTTTCTTTGATTTTGGCCACTTGGAACATGGAGATTTTATAATCTTTGTAACTGCCAAAGCTATCACTTTGTAAAATACGATGCTCTTGTTTCTAATATTCTATTCAGTTCCTTGTGCTAATTCTTTAACTGGTCTAAACTTTTATAGCTCTGTTCAGTTTATTATTTGCCTTAATAAATGTCATATTTTGGGTATACTTTGAAAATATGGCCCTTACCTTCGTAAACTGTATCCATTTTCAGAAGTTGAGAATAAAAGAAGAGGTGGGTATAAAGAAAATCGTTCTGGGATCCAGGACCACACAATGCGCATTTCTTGAGCCTTAACAATGGTGGAACTAAAATTATGTGCATTCACAATGAGGTGGAATGGTTGTCTGTGCAACAGGAAAAGAAAAGAGAGACTCTAATCAAACTATAATTCCAAAGAGATTGGCTTTTAGGATAGAGAGGGCATTCTTTGCAAATAATTCTCAAGCAGGAACAGCTGCTGATATATTACATCCTGAAATTGCAATGGTACAGGACACACAATGGCCATAAACTCTGGGACTTGTTTTGGAGCAAGGATGGTCATGTGATCTGCTGGTTGTTCAGCTTTCCTTATTCTTTTTACATTTACAACTACATATTCCTTCTGGATTGTCTTTGGATGAAGCATAAGATATCATACACTCTTCAAACCAGAATTATGTTAAGAGATGGTTGCTCATTGTTTTAATGAAAGCTGTCATATTAACAGAATAACTGAGTTGGAAGGGACCTTGGAGGTCTTTTAGTCCAACCCTTGCTCAAGTAGGAGCATTGGTTAATAGTTCTCACTGTTAGGAAATTTCTCCTTAGTTCTAAGTTGCTTTTCTATTTGATTACTTTCCATCCATCTTGCCCCTTGTACCCTCTTGCATCAGAAGTGGATATTAGTTATTTTCAAGACTTCTGGGATAGAAATACTTCCCTCCCCCCCTCCACATACACAAATATATGCCTACATGTATAAAGCAGACAACCTCCGTTAGACAATCTATTATTCCTAGCACTGTAACTAAGTTTACTTTACTTTACAGATCTTCAGTGTCTTTAGGTTTCAGGAATTGAAACCTAATCTGATATTAGAGGTGATTTTAAGCATGGCATATCTTGCCAATGCTAGAGATCAAAATGTCCATTTCATTTATCTGGGAAACTGCCCATGCGTTTGCATCCTACTCAAAAGAGGGAGCACCAATCTAAGAGGCAGATGGATTCTGCTATAATGTTGGTGCCTCCCACCACACTTTTTCAGGCTACTTGACCATTAAGACCAGGAGAAAAGTGGGGCAGGATGAGAACAAACTCATCAATTAAATATAATTTATTGCACTCACAGATTAATCTTCAAAATAAAACATATTAGAAATAAAATAAGCATAAAACCAGAAAACGGAATAAGGGTGTTACTATTGGTGATGGGTTCATTAGCGGGCAGTCAGAGTGTGACTAGTCTTAGCACATAGGGAATTTTTAAATTTCATCCTTCCAGTAATGAATTAAATACAGTTAGGCTGATTATTCAATTGTAACTACTGGAGAGATTCTGGAAGCAACACTCCAGCTTTGTATGGAGCAGATCCTGAAGCCTTGGGGTCGGACCTTGATATTAGTTCTGTATGTTCTTTTGGAAAAAAATATCTGCTGTCAGGAATGGACTTTGGAAGCCCATGTTCTATAATTCAGACTTAGCAATGAAGTCTGGTTAAAACGAAATCCTACTCTTAAGTTCTGATATATCTCAAACAAACATAAAGCACAGTAAGGCTTAAACCATATACACACAGTAAATGCAGACCCCAATGGTAGAGTGCATATGACATTGTTAAAACACATGCAAATTTAAACCAATTTGCTTCCAGGGCTATTATTGATGTATCCTCATGCTTATTTCTACATTTTTTCCAAAGCTGGTATAAATCTAACATGGCTCAAATTTGTTATTATACTTTTTAGAAAGTTCATACATGACTAGTATTACCTACTGACATGATTATCTAATATATTTTATGAGGTTTGTAAACTTACAGTGCTGAGGGCAGACTGATTATGGCAGTTGTAGACTAGAATCTCTCTGTGGGGGAAGGCATATTTTACTGTGATTGATAGGATGGGCAGGAAATACTCTGCATGAGTTATTCTAATTGGCTAGGTTCTCCAGTCATTTAGAGTGGTATTGTATAGCATCTCATAACTGGAAATGCTATGGCATGCCCAAAAATATAGTAAAGAAGGTTCTTTTACCTGTGCTGCACCCTTGTTACTCCTTTATCCACCAGAGCCTTCCTGTTAGCCATCTGAAGAAGCCAGATTTCTTTGCGGGAGAAAAGTCGGATGCCAAATGCTTTCTCTAAAAGCTTTTCAGCTGCCAAGTATTCATGAATGTCCCACAGGAAAGCCTGCAAGCTTTCCTTGATGTCAACCACCTCTTGTCCTCTTGAAGTCATAAAGAGCCGGTATTGCTTCAGCAGTGCCAGAGCAATGCGGTAAAGGACCTTTTGCCCCTCCAAGAGATACACATCAAAGATGCGAATGACATAATTAAAGGGAAGATCGTCAAAGAGCCACACCAGCCACTCAGAGTACACCTCCAAGATGTCTGATGAACTTGCTATCAGCTGATGGGCAGCTGGGCAGTGCTTATTGGCTAAGTCCCCAAAGGTCATACAGGAGGCCTCATGAACTAGGAAGGACTGGTCTATGTAGGTGGTGTGGGGAGCCTTGGAGTAGAGGAGTCGGCAAGTCAACTCAAAGCAGTGGGCCTCGTCTTGGCTGTAATGGAGCAGCAGAGCAGTCACAGCTGGGAGCAAAGGACAGTAAGTAATCTCAGGGTACAGATTGAAAATGCAGATAAGTATTTTCTTCAAAGCCGTTATCCCTTCTGGAGTGAGGCAGTATTCAGGCATGATGCTTCCTTCCAGGAATTCAGGCAAGGGATCCAAACTTTCACTCTGGTTTCCAAATAACTTGCTGGCAACATCTTGGTAGACGAAGGCATCAGCAGTCATTAGCCGGCATGGTATATCTTGGATAATGTGCTGGTAAGCCTTTGCTCTCAGGGTATGGCTCCCAGCCCAACATCCTTCCCTTGCTAGTTTCTTTAGCTCTTTCCTAGACTTGCCAAGGAACTGCTCATGAGAGTCCTGATGATCATTCAGTTTGGGGATTTTGCTCTGGTCCACAAATACACTGTAGCCTAGGTAGGAAGCTGGATTACTATCCCCTATCCCAGCCTTGGCAATGATTGGCACAGGTTGTTTAATTGGATTAACTGTCTCTGTAGAATAAAGACATTACGTTGAGTGCAATTTATCTACTATCTGACAGCTTGCTTAATGCTGCTTGACAAGTATAGGGGGGGGGGGAACTCTGCATTTAAACTGATAAACAGTAATTTGCCATTTGCTCTTAAGCTTCCATTTCATTCATTAGGTAGTTGGTTTTACCAATCAGAATACCTGTTAGAAATTGAAGCATAGCGCAATAAAATATTTTCACTATGGTAGGGTTAAATACTGAATATGATGCAATAATTTTTTAAAAAAGGGATTTATTTATCTAAAGAATAATCATTATATATTTCTCAAAATCGCTATAAAAGAATATTTTGTTATCCTGATATGGTATCAGTCAACACAGCAAATACCTGTGTCAAATACAAGATTGTCAAGATGCTTCAGAAGATGAAGCTTTCCATCCACAAATCTTTTAGTTTACAGTGAAAAAGTTCACTGTAACCTAGCTCTGGACTGCTCTGAGCACTGCAGAAATTCAGACTCTACAAGGACGGACAGAAGCACATGTTCTCTGAGAGAGAATGAAAGCAACAAAAGGTAAGACATTATTTTATAGCTATATTATCTAATAGGAAAAATTTGGTGCTATTAGGACTGCATAGCCCACATTGGAAATCCTTGTATCTTTTTGCATCGGTCCCTTGTCCTTCCCATTTCTTCTTTCTCTTCCTCCCCACCTACTCCCTTAGATGCTTCCTAGAGAAACAGAGGTGCTGTAACTTCACTCTGCAGTGCCTAAAAGAAATTAAAGAAGAGAGCCATGAAATATTGTTTTCTTTGAGTTAGGGGAAAAGGACAGGGTGTGCTAGGCACAGAGAAGGAGAAGAAAAGTGAAAAATGTCAGCAGAGAGAAAGGGGATGAAGGGAGAGGGATAATCTGGGAATGGAACATGCAAGGCAAATCTGTAATCTCCCATCTCCTGCAGATGTTGCCAGGTCCTTTACGTGACTCTGGCAGGGAGCTTAAACTCATTCTGAATTTGAAATCAGGATCTCCTGGGAAATGCTCTACGTGAGGCTTCCTTTGAAGATCACCAGGAAGCTACCACTGGTCCAGAATATATCAGTGTAGATAAGGCTAGGTGCTTCTAGGTTTGCCCATGCTATACTTTTGTAGTGTGATCTTGCACACCTTTTGTGTACAATTCAAGATATTGGTTATCACCTTTAAAGTCCTACAGAGCAGGAGCCCAGGTTATCGCTGGGATTGCTTCTCCCTAAGAGTATCTGCTTGTTGTATCAGATTGGATAGAGATAGACATGTTCCATGTCCTTTCTCTAAAATGTTGCCATGTAACAGGACCTTGGAAGTGTTCCTTTTCTGTGACTACCTTAATTATGGAATATCCTCCCGCTGCGACCTGGCAAGCTTCCATCCTTTTAGCTTTCCAGAAGGCGACCAAGACCTGGCTCAAGACTAGACACTGGGATAGACAGAGGGTGTCTTGGCATGGTTGTTGAAGGGTTTTATGGTTTTTTTTTAATGTTTCTGTAGTTTTATTATTATTGTAAGCTACCCAGAGTTGCCCTTGAAGATGCATGACCATACAAATCTTCAAAATAAACAAATAGTTAAATAAAATCCTGTCTTTAATGTACAGCAACTAGCAATGGGAATGGACTGTTCCCATGCAATAATCAACCATCACAGCGACATTTTTGGAGAAACTCTGCCGACATGGTTGCAACAACCTGTAAAAATATTCTTCAGATCTAAGAAAGAAGCAAAACATTAGGAAGAGACTCAGACTGGCTCCCTGGGGGTATAGAAGGGAGGGAGGGAAAATCCACTCTGGCTTTCAGGATTCTGTTGCTGCAGCCAGTCTCAATAAACATGGACTTTTGGAGTTGTTTTCCTGGTCTGGCCTACCTCGAATGCTGACTCTGATAATGCAAGCCAGTCCAGGTTCCAGAGACAGGCTTCTCAAAAGGTACTTGCAGCATGGGAGAAATCAAGCAGGCCAGGCTAATCATTTTCATTTTTCTTAGGAATGCTCAGGGAGCAGCCAGGCAGGCAGATGATGATCCTGTCTTGAGCCAAAATATACCATGTCCCCTATTCTGCATGCTGAACAAAATATCCAAAAGTAACTGTTGATTCCTCAAGATAGACTTTGGGGCTTCTTGCAATAGAAAATATAGGGTGGAAATTTGACTAAATCTTATAAATATAATGAACAAAGGTAGTGTTGATCACATTAGTTTTCATCTCTGAGTAACCTTACATTTTGATTTGTTGGGAGGGGGGGAAGGAGACTTGGTACAATAAGATATGAGATATGCAACATATCTCAAAATCTACAGTTTTCTGTTTCAGCTTTTCAAATATTCTTGGATTTCTTTAGTTTTTATGACCCAATCTCCCTTTCTCAGAATGTACATGAACAATGGCTGTCTTTTAGATGGGGGCAGTAAACATTTTATTTTATTTCACAGAATAATTTTTTCTGTTTCTTATTAAAAATGCGGCCATAGTTCTGCTCGATCCAGCTGAATGATGTGGCCATGTTGTAATTTATCTTGATTTTCTTGAAGTGCAGCTAGAACACAACCACTATCTCCACCAATAATAGCATATATACCATAGATGTCCTTGCCTTTTGCACTGTTTATGGAAGTAAGCTGCCCCTCAAATGAACATTGTTCCAGCTCGGTCTCTCATGTTGTATACGTGACCCGATAGAGATGGAGAAGAAAACAGAGTATAACCAAAATAAAATAATGAAGTTTGTAATAATTGGGTAACACTAATTCTTTCCATCTCTAAAAGAAGTTGAAAATACAGTTGATAACAGATACTACACATTATTTAAAGGTGAAACTAAAAGTTTGTGGATGTGATATTAGTTTGATTTGCAAGGCCCTGGAACTGGGTGGACATTCTTTGTTGTGAATGAGGATGAAGGGTTCTGTAACTGGAACAAAAAGGAATTGTTTAGCCTAACTATTGCTATCTCGCTTCTTTAATCAGCATTTGCATCAGCGTGGGAAACATGTACATGGATGGGATGTACTGAAGGAGGGAATAAGGGAGTGTACAGGAATGATTAATGTCTTCCTTACAATGTAATGACCATGTTGTCTGATTTTCATTGGCTAACAAAGTTTATAAAGCAATGCTACTAACTTTCCAAGGTGTGGCACTTCTGAACACAATTGTTGCCAGAGTTCAGATTGTGTTCCTACCCAGGACTTATTTCGATCGAAAATAAAGTGCTGTACCTTTAAGAAGCCTCTGCTTCAGTTTTCATGATTGGATTTTTTTATAATTTCTCAAGTTTTGCCAAGGGCCGATAACCTTACAGGGGTTTAGTCTAGTGGTGGGATTCAGCCAGTTCTCACCACTTCAGCAGAACCGGTAGCTAATTTTTTGTTACCCAAGCCCAGAATAGACTTCTGGAAGCGGCATCCACACAGAGAACTGGTTTTCATATATCTGAATCCCACCACTGGTTTAGTCTTATAAGTTTCCATTTGCTGGGTATTCAAATCTATTTTCCCAGACTTCTTCATAAAAGCTACCCATGAAGTGATGCAAATGTTTAGTATTCATTTAACACCTGTGCTTTAGCCATTTATAGCATTGTTACATTACTGTTGTACTGCAGAGGAGGAAAACTACCAAAATAGAAACGCCAGTACAGAGCTATTAGTGTCAGCTATACAAACACAGGGCTGGGGGTGGGGGGGTGGGAAAAGGAAAAGATGAGCAAATAACAATCAAGTGAAAAGTATCTGCTCAGGATAGATAACTATGTAGTGAATGTATAGGACTTGCTGATGGACCTATTATGGCAGTTGCGCATTAAGTGTCATCTGCTGCTAATGTTCCTGAGAGTTGGGAATCTATTTTGAATCCTGTAATGTAATATCCATCAGATTTCATGAAAATAATATAGTCCAGCTGGTGGAGAAGGCGGAGTATAGTTTAGAATCATGGAAAAAAAGAAAAAAAATCAGAAAACTATGAACTGGCTGAAAGTGAAACTTCCTGCAGTGCAGAGTGGTACAATGCACATATTTTGAAATTTGATGTATATAATTGAAGCCATCATTACAAGATAATGTGAATCTTCCAGATGATTTTTACATTTGATTCTCACTTGCTACTCTTCATTTTCAACACTCAGCCAGAGCAGCTGACATCCGTGAATGCCTTCTATTTCTGTGGATTCTCTGCAGCACAACTTAATAATGCAAGAGTGTTATAACATGTGTTAACAGAATGCTAAGTGTTAGCAAGATGAATCTGCCGTTATTATTAACAATTCTGGGGAAACAGTTTCTGAACTTGATTCATTCCAATCTTCAGTGCCAATACCACTCATGCCAGAAAAAAAAGAACTAAACTCTGCTCCAAGAAAATGGAAAGCAATGGACTTCGAAAAGCAGCAGAAAAGGGCAAGGGAGGTTGGTACCTAAAAGAGCAAGGTAGAGGCCTGGGGTACTGAAGATTGATATAGAAATTTTTAAGAACAAACAGCTGCTACACAGGATAGGAAAATATCTTATCCAGAATCCTAGAGCAAAGCAGATTGGAGAGGATGTCAGCAGCCTTGGTATGGGGTGGGTATGTAAATTGTGCCAGGGAAGAACCACTGTAGCATTAGACCATCATAACATGCACTTATTTGATCACCTGAACCTTTTGAAAGACTAAACCAAACATCCCTGCATTAAAACAAACAAAAAGGCTTTATGGTATGCTGGTGGCATATTCAGTTCCTCAGCTATCATTGTGCTCCCCCTGGAGGAAAACCTGGGCCATTGTTAGAAAGTGTTGTTTAGCTGTGACCTCTTTAAAAATGTAGGCTACAGGGCAAGTATGTGAGTCCCTTTGAGCCTGCACTGACTCCTGGCAATTGCCTGGATAAGTCCCTGTAGTTTTCTTGGTAACAAGATAAGAACTGCTATTTATTCATTTGCTCAAATAACATTACATTCTGCAATTTCTGCACTTCTGTGTATTGGATTTGTTGATTCTAACCGTGTTAGGTTAGCTGGCTCATACTAAATATGCAATAAACTTCAGAAAGAGAGACCAGGTCAGGAATGAATAATTGCTGAGTTCTTTACTTTCCAAAGTTCTTTGTGACCCCATTTGGCTGACAAACCTTGTACATTGTGAAATATATTGGAAAGGAAAGTTTCTGGCATTGCCTATATCCTACGTGTGTCTAA